TGCCTGAGAGCGGCAGTGATCAGACCCTCAGCGGGGAAAATAGCTAGGATGCGGAAGTGACCGGCTACCCCTTCTGTTCCTTGCGCCCTAGTGCCTACATGATAAGGATGTGAAACGTGAGCCGCCCAAAGAAACTTCCCCAAACCCCGCCCGCCGCCCTGCAGGCCACGCCCCAGTACGTGCTGGGGCGCAGCACCGCAGCCCTGGCCCCTCCCCGGGACTGGGGGCCGGCGCGAGGCGGCAGGAGCGGCGCGTGGAGCCGCTGCCCCAGGCTTACGCCTACGTGTGGGAGAGCATGTGGAGGCGCTGCCCCGCCCGGCCATTGGAAGCACACGCGCGGGCGGGTGATCGCGCGGAGGCGCTGGCCCGAAGGCTCCGAGCTGCTTGTTGTCTTCCGAGACTCGTCGGATTTTGCTGCCCGCTTTTTCTTAAACTTGGTCGCTTTGGATGTTGGGGTTGCAGAAGGAGAGGGGGAGGTGCTGACGGAGAGATCTCAAGGACGGAGACAGGAATTGCTGTGGTTAGAACTGTTCTGTGGAGTGTGATCCTCAGCTCTGTAGAACAGAGAAATACCGAGGAGTTGCCTAAAAGATTGAGTAGCTATGTAAGACTTTTAAAAAATTACTCCCCATCTACTAATAACTTGTCAGAAATAGAGGAGTTGTGTGTTTATTTCAAGATATTAGCCTTAAGGCACCAGAGACTTCGTTTATTTTAAATTAAGCATTTGAGATAGGCCTGATTAATAGAAACTTTAGCTTCCCTAGGTGGGTTTTTATTGTTGGTTTGATTTTTTTACCTGTCCTGTTTTTTGAATTTGTTGTATGACTGCACCCTGAGAATCCTTTGGGAGAAGATAATCTTTCTGGACAGAAGGGTAGTGAGTTTACGGAAAGTGGAAAAGCTCGGGGCCTTAAATTTAATCTGTAATTAGTTTATGATTACGCAGTCTGTTGTAAAGCGCGGGGCAAGGTATTGTTTAGAATAAATTACCCTCTGTATATCCTCAACTGACTACGTTTTATATTTTGTTCTCAGGAAAATTCATTATTTATGTTTTTTCAAATAGAATTACCTAAAAAGTAGGACATTAAATAATCTCTTGACAATTAAAAAATGTGGCTGAGGTGTTGTGAATATTTTTTTCCTAATAAAAACTGATCTGTAGCCTGTCTCTGTGTGTTTAATTAGAGAAGTGCCTTTTAGGGAGAGTGCTACAACTCTTTTCATCTTATGGATGCTTAATCACTGTAAAGTGGTTATTCTTTCACAGAGGAGAGCAGGCTGGAGGTTTGGGGGAATGGTATGCTTTAATGTTTATCACAAAAGCATTTTTAAAAATTGCATATGTAGCCTGACAAGTAGGCTAGAATACTCTCAAGTCAAATATTCTTTAGGGATCTTTGGAATATTAAAACATTAAGAAACACTATTTTATGTAGAGATCTTTTCCATATACTTCTGGACAATATTACTGGCTCTTTGAAAAAAAAAAATTAATGCTTCCACACAGAACTGCTTATGATTACTTGAACAGGACTACTGGACAAGCTTTGGGGTAAGTCTTTATAAACTTGCCCGACTGCCCAGGCTGCAGGTAGACAATTTAAAACAAAAACCTAACTGAAGTAAAATTAGAGGTAATCACCAATTAGAGAGGAGCCTGGAGAGCCTGGGTAGGTGCTTTGCCTCTTTTTTTGGCAAATTAAGCTGCTAATATTTGCCAGCCCTATGAACATCACCTTAAGCCCTTGCTTACTTCTGATTATTTTTCAGCCTTCTGTGATCACTTATGTATGTCTTTTCTCCCCTATTAAACTGAGTTCCTTCAGAGCAAGGCTCCCATCTGATTCATCTTTGATTGTTCCTAAAACCTTCCACTTTGCTTGCACAAGGACAACACACAACATGATTGAGGGTGGGAGAGGATCTCGTGTGACACAGACCAGAGAAGAAATGACCAGAAGAATGGGGGAAATAGGACCATTTTCTAGCTCTTCCAGTGAAATCTATTTATTCAAAGAACAGTTTCTGAGGTTTGAGTGAGTCCAAGGTGTTTGCTACATTTTGTGTGTTTGTGGCACCTCAAAATTCGTATGTTGAAATGTAACATCCAAGATGATAGCTCAGTATTACGCGATGGGACTTTGGGAGGTGATTAGGTCTTCAGGATGAAATGTTAATGGGATTTGAGCCCTTGTTAAAATAGAGGCTCCAGAGAGTTCCATTGCTCCTTTGACTTTGTGAGGAAAATGCATTTTAAGACCAGAACTAGATACCAAGTTTCTGAGATGATTTGGCTGAAATGAGAATGCTTATTCACTGGTCAGTTCAGTTCAGTTGCTCAGTTGTGTCCGACTCTTTGCGACCCCATGAGTCGCAGCACACCAGGCCTCCCTGTCCATCACCAACTCCCGGAGTTTACCCAAATTCATGTCCATCGAGTCGGTGATGCCTTCCAGCTATCTCATCCTCTGTCGTCCCCTTCTCCACCTGCCCCCAATCCCTCCAAGCATTAGGGTCTTTTCCAATGAATCAACTCTTCGCATGAGGTGGCCAAAGTATTGGAGTTTCAGCTTCAGCATCAGTCCTTCCAATGAACACCCAGGACTGATCTTTAAGATGGACTGGTTGGATCTCCTTGCAATCCAACGGACTGTCAAGAGTCTTCTCCAGCACCACAGTTCACAAGCATCAATTCTTTGGCGCTCAGCTTTCTTCACAGTCCAACTCTCACATCCATACATGACCACTGGAAAAACCATAGCCTTGACTAGAGGGACCTTTGTTTGCAAAGTAATGTCTCTGCTTTTTAATATGCTATCTAGGTTTTTCATAACTTTCCTTCCAAGGAGTAAGCGTCTTTTAATTTCATGGATACAATCACCATCTGCAGTGATTTTGGAGCCCCCCAAAAATAAAGTCTGCCACTGTTTCCACTGTTTCCCCATCTATTTCCCATGAAGTGATGGGACCAGATGCCATGATCTTACTTTTCTGAATGTTGAGCTTTCAGCCAACTTTTTCACTGACAGTAAAGTATAAATCTTGTTAAGTTTTACATTTGCACTCTATCATCTAATAATTCCTCAGATAAATATACTCCACACTCCTGCAACATGTTAGTAGAAATCCATAATAAACCAACAAAAATAAAGGGTACCCAGTGAAACTGTATTTAAGATGAACAATGAATAATTCTTTTAGTTGGCCTGAAATTCAAATTTCATTTGGTCTCATGTATTTTATCTGGCAATCCTACAAATAAGAGAGGAAAAAGTGTTCATAAAACATGGTTTATAACAGCAATATCTGGAACCCACCTAAATTTTCATTGAGGAAATAATAAACTGTATATTCACACAGTGGAATATTAGGAAGTAATGAAAATAAATGAATTACAGCTATAAGAAATAATATAAATGAATCTCAGAAACACTATTAAACTTAAAAAGCAATTCAAAGACTATGTATTAGAAATTGCAACACTGTTATAGTAAAGCTCAAAATCAACCACAAGTAAACAATATATTGTTTAGAGATCTGAACACATGTGATAAAATATTTACAAAACAATGAGAAACAAAATAAGGTAGTTGTTATTAAAGTAGTGGCAGAGGCAGGAGAATAGTTTAGAGGAGGAATTCAGAGATTTATGTGAAAGGTGTTGGTCACGTTCCAGTTCCTATACATGTAGAAGGTACACAGGTGTTCATATTCCTGCTATGCGTCTTATTCGGACATGTTACATAAGTTTTTTTATAATGCATATTACATAACTTTTAAAAAAAAGATGAATGATAAGTTACATAGAGCCCTTATACTTTTAGGATAACTCTCCAAAAGAATAAGAATAGCATGATTTGCAATCACAGAAATAGTGAAAAGTACAAAATATTACTTGATAGCCAGCTCCTGAGAGAAGCTAGAAGGTGGAATGTACAAAGACGGATTCAGTCATAGTGCTGGTGAAGACGCTAAAGAGTCCCTTGGACACCAAGGAGATCAAACCAGTTAATCCTAAAAGAAATCAACTCTTGAATAGTCATTGGAAGGCCTGATGCTGAAGCAGAAGCTCCAATACTTTGGCCACCAGACTCCAAGAGCTGACTCATTGGAAAAGATCCTGATGCTGGGAAAGATGGAGAAGCCGGGGAGTGGGCGGTGGGGGGAGGGGAGGGTCGACAGAGGATGAGATGGTTGGATGGCATCACCAACTCAATGGACATGAGTTTCAGCAAACTCTGGGATATAATAAAGGATAGGGAAGCCTGGCAGTAATGCAGTCCACGGGGTCAAACAAAGATACGACTTAGCGACGGAACACAACAAAATCAGATACAGTACTTTTTGCTAAGTAATGTTCTAGACCGTGATGGTGGTGGTGGTGGGGATATTTACAAGAGCTTCTCAAGACAGAAGGGTGTTAAGGCTACAACCAGAGAGCCACACATTAAACATGGGTATTATAGCCTACGAGAGGAAGTCCAGTCTGCGTGGGTGTGTGCTCAAGTCACTTCAGTCCTGTCTGATTCTGCGACCCTATGGATTATAGCCCGCCAGGCTCCTCAGTCCATGGGATTCTCCAGGCAAGAATACTGGAGTGGGTTGCCATGCCCGCCTCTGAAGTCCAGTCTACTTCTCAGTAAACCCTCTTTGGATCCTATTTCCACGAGGCAGTGGCTTGAGATTGGGACATGTTTCTTCTTAGGTGTAAAAGCTGACTTGTCACCCTAGGATCACTTTAAAGGGGAGAGATGGTAAGTGTAATAATGATTGGTATAAGGTATAATACAGACCTAAAATCCTTCTTTGGCTCACAGGTCCCCTGAGGAGTAAACTTATTTATTGAAATTAATCGCGCCAACCTCACTCCTCTTAAGAGATCTGAGCTCCTGAGGCAAACGGTTGCGCAGGCGCAGAAAACGACGCGAAAGCTTGGGTAGATCCGGCTGGAGGTGGAGTTGAAGCGGCCGGAAACGCGTCACGGAGGGCGTGTGCGTCAGGTCGTAGTGGGTGGGGCTCAGAGCCCCGTTTCCTTGGCTACCGCCGGCAGCTGCCCTACGCGTGGCCTGTTTGCTTTGCAGACATGGAGGCTGCTGCAGGCTTGAAGGACGACTGCGAGGCCCTGCTCAGCCGCTTCCAGGAGATGGACAGCGTGCGCTTCGAGGACTTCACTGAGCTCTGGAGAAGTATGAAGTTCGGAACCATCTTCTGGTGGGTGTTTCTTGTCCTTTCCTCTCTCTCTGTGTTCAGGGGCGGCGTAACAAGTTTCTTCCATCCCTTTCGCTTTGCGGCACCTGGGAAGGGCTGAGTAAAGTGGCAGTCTGAACTCTGCCTTCGTCTCTCCTGGGCCGTCATCTGTGCTTGGCTCCGCGTTTTCCCTGGGCGATTTCGTTGGCTTGGTTTTCATCCATCCATTTTGCGGCCTCCTCCCAGATAAGTATAGCTCTACCTGGCCGCCCTTCTCCACTCTTCTGCCTCCACTGCTTCATCCTGACCTAGATCACCGTCGTGTGCCCTCAGTCGAGTCTTGTTTTCTTACAACTCCATGTTTAAAAACAAACACACAAGCAAAGACAAACCCCGCATGATTGAATTCATTTTTCATACAACCGCTGAAGTTGTAAAGTGCACATTTGATCATGTCACGGCCTTTCATACCACCCGTTAATGGTTTCCGTTGCCTCTGAGTACAGCTCAGATTCCCTAACAAGGTTGGCAAGACCCTTCGTGACTGGCCTTTGCCCAGCGTTGCAGCTTCATCTACCAGCCCACTCCATGGCTCTCTACATGCGTTTCCTCAGCCTGGACCTTTACCTGGCTACCTTATTCTTCATTCAGGTTTAAGCTCTTGTGACAGTTCTTCAGGGAAACATTCCTTAGCCCTTCTGGACTAAATAAGGTGTTCATGCTCTTTTTCTTGTAGCACTTTGTGCTTATTTTACCTCTTGACGTAATCACATTTTAACTGTGTAGTTCAGAAGGCAGTATAGTGTCGTGGTGAGAAGCATGGATTATGGAGCCCCACTTCTTGAATGTGGTCAGTCCTCTACTGATTGTGATAATAAGTGCACTCTTAAGTGCTCAAGAAATATTCGTTATTATTATTTTAAATTTTCTTTCCACTAGACTTAGCTCTTTGAGGACAGTGACTGGATGGATATAGTATTCAATTAGCATAATACTTAAAATATTTAAAATGCTAAATTAATAAAATGAATGAGTCCTTGTGATTATAACTCTTATGTTCTGCTGAATAAAATGTGAACATTCTCTTTTTTCTCCTTGTTGATGTAAAATAAGTACCTGTATAGTTTGTCCATTGCAGGGGATGGAGAATGGAGAACCGTTTGTTGTACAATTAATGAAAGGAGAGGAACTTTTTTTTTTTTTACTGGTACTAAATGTAATGCATTTATAGCTGTATGTAATCCATAGAACAACTCTGAGATCAGTAATTATCCTTGTTTTATAGATGAGGAAATTGAGATTTTAAAAGGTTAAGTAATTTTTCCATGATCACACAACTAGTAGGTGGTACAGCAGGTACTGAAACCAGTATGTCTGTTTCTGAAACCCATGATCTTTTTTGCTGTATCCCTCTTGGGGAAAGTGGTTTAGAAAAATTTTGCTATGGTTGCCCCATCTTCTAATTTAATGAAGAAGGAACTAAAATGAGAAAACAAGTAGAGATTATTTAAGGAGTGGTAGATTTTCTTTAGAAACTGCTTTGGTTGCCAGTACTATAATAGGTATTTTTCATTCCTGTAGTATATTCATTACTTAGAGGGCCCAGGCTTTGGAATATAGTGGGGTCCCTTTGTTACCCTGCTGTTTACATTGGTGAACTTTTTTCCTGCAGAATTGGGAGGAGGAGGGATACATTGTGCTGTGGTTCTCCAACTTTTTCACCCAAATGTCTCAAGAACAGGTTAGGACCCCCTGAGGCTACTGGGGAAAATCACCATTATATATTAATATGCACATATATTTTAATTGAAGTATAGTTGAGTTGAGTTGATGCCTTTGAACTGTGGTGGTGCGGAAGACTTGAGAGTCCCTTGGACTGCAAGGAGATCCAGCCAGCCCATCCTAAAGGAGATCAGTCCTGAATGTTCATTGGAAGGGCTGATGCTGAAACTGAAACTTCAGTACTTTAGCCACCTGATGCAAAGAACTAACTCATTGGAAAAGACCCTGATGCTGGGAAAGATTGAGGGCAGGAGGAGAGGGGGACGACAGAGGATGAGATGGTTGGATGGCATCACCAACTCGATGGACATGAGCTTGAGCAAGCTCTGGGAGTTGGTGATGGACAGGGAAGCCTGACATGCTGCAGTCCATGGGGTCGCAAAGAGTCGGACATGACTGAGAGACTGAACTGACTTACTGATAGTTGAGTTACAGCATGTTAGTTTCAGATGTGCAGTGTAGTGATTCCACAGTCAAATGCAATACAAGTGATCAACCACAAGTTCAGTAACCATCTGTCACCATACAAAATTATTGAAGTATTATTTTTATTGGCTTTATTCCTTATGCTGTATATTATATCCAGTGACTTACTTATTTTGTAACTGGAAGTTTGTATCTTTTAATCCCCTTCACCTATTTTGCCCATCCATCTACCCTCTTCCCCTCTGACATCCATCATCATGCTCTCTGTTTATGTGTTTCTGTTTTGTTTCTTTGTTTTTTAGATTCGACAGTAGTGAGATTATGCAGAACTTGTCTTTGTCTGACTTATTTCACTTAGCATAATACCCTCTAGGTCAATCCGCTTTGTCACAATGAACCTGATCTTTGTATTTTATTCTGTAACATTACCGTGGTTATTTTAGTATATTACATATTTAAAATTCTTAAACCAGTAGTTAGTTGTAATCCTGCTCCTTTTGCTCCCAATTCAGCAGTAAAGTTGATGCTTTTGGAAGGTGCATCAAGAGTACCTTGGGCCTCAGTGTAAGAAGCACAGCAGAAAATTAGGTCTTTATCCTTGAATCATGAAAGGATCAGGTGTGGAATGCCCGTCCGCTTTCTAGCAGCTGCTATTTAAACAAGTATAAACCTCTTCTGTTACTTTTTTTCATAGTCATAATATAGGTTCTCTTTGTTTTCTAGTGGTAGAATGAGAAATTTAGAAAAGAACACGTTTACAAAAGAAGCTTTGACTTCGGCTTGGCGATATTTTTTACCTCCATACACCTTCCAGATCAGAGTTGGTGCTTTGTATCTGCTATATGGATTATACAATACGCAACTTTGTCAACCAAAACAAAAGGTAACATTTGTGAGTTGTTTTCCTCCAGCGGAAATATGAAACAGGTGCAATATTTTCATAGCCAACTGATTTTAAAGAGAAATGCCAGTGTTTCAAAATTATAATACATATGTGAAAAAAGATTTGCATTTACTAACAATTTTTTTATTCCTCTTGTTTGCAGATTAGAGTTGCCCTGAAGGATTGGGATGAAATTTTAAAATTTCAGCAAGATTTGATAAATGCACAACATTTTGATGCAGCTTATATTTTCAGGAGACTACGACTAGACAGAGCATTTCACTTTACAGCAATGCCCAAATTGGTGTGTTATCTGAAGGAGATTGTTTTTCAAAATGAGAAATTCTGCTTCATTGTCCTTAAAGTGCCTCAGTCTCCAGAAAGTGGAAAGAGTATTATATCATTCGCAATACTTGAGAAGAGGCTTCTTGGACTTCCCTGGTGGTCCAGTGGTTAAGACTCTGTGCTTCCAATTCAGGGGGCATATGTTCAATCCCAGGTCTTGGTCAGGGAACTAAGATCCTGACATGCGATATGGTATGGCCAAAAAAAAAAAAAGAAAAAAGATTTCTTAAAATAGGAAAACAAATATGGGGAATTCCCTGGTGATCGGTGGTTAGGACTCCAGGCTATTACTGCTGAGGTCCTGGGTTCATTCCCTGGTCAGGAAACTAAGATCCTACAAGCTGTGTGTCATGGCCAAAAAAAGGAAAGAGGAAAAAAATGCTTTCTGATTACTTTTTTGTGAAAGCAAAATTCAGTCTGTCCTAATAATGCAATATTTCTGAGTGTTGTCCATTAAGTAGATGGTTAGAAGAAGAAGTTAGATGGGTATCTGCATTTGCTTATGCCTTTATTCAGACATTAGAGGGGCAACTGAAGAGAACTGAGGGATTTTAATGCCAGTTAGTGAAAAGTTGAAACTTCTACTAATATATATTTCTTTAGTCTTGTGACACTTTCAGATGCTAGATTGAAAGAGCATTTTAATCAAAAGGTTCTAGTTCTGTCAGTTGACAAATCATGTAATTTCTCTGAATTTGTAAGCATGTCGCCTGGCATCTTAAGGGTTATTTCAAAAGTTGTTTAACAGTCTTTGAAAAATACATTTTTCAGAGTAAGTATGTACTTACTTATTTAGTAAATACATACTTAGAATGGTTTTTCTTTTTGATTTTTGGCCCATATTTACTTATACATGATTTTTATTGCTGGCTTACTTACAGTACTTAAAATATATCTTTTAAAGCATCTATTTTAAAAGACATTATTATTTAGCTGTCATACAGAATGAAGAAAAAAATTCAACGAACTGAAATTACTGAAGAATTTAAGGACCCAAATGATCGTGTAATGAAACTTATCACTTCTGATGTACTAGAGGTAAATTTGCTTTTATGTTCTTAAAATTTTTTAAAAACTGTTTTGTTGTTAACTATATATTGAGTTTATACCTTCGTCTACTGGATACTGAAAATTTTTCTAATCATAGGATGCTATTACCTTCTCTCAAGTGTCAGGAATACTTTACCCTAAATATATCAAAATTTCTGGAATAAATTTTGAAAGAGTGAGAAATAGATGTAAAAGACTGGACTTGGATTAAGGATATTGGGATTCAAATACTGAAACTACCATTTGTATTTTACTTTAAATATATTATAAAACAAGAATTTAGTGACTTTATTTTTTTTTTAACAATATATGTTCATTTCCTAAGTTCCCTTTTACAATGCTTGAGTAAAAACCCACTATTGAAAATAGTTTATTTTGATAAAACAAAAATTTGAAATCAAGAATAATAGATAAGAGTTACAGTCTTAAAACAGCTTTTCAATCTAATGTATTTCAGTATTTTGAGATGTACAGTATGCAGGAAAATCCTTTGCATTGATAAATAGTCACAGAGAGTTTTACCTGAGTGGGAAAGTTGCCCCGAGGTTAAAACAATACCCCACTAAAGGGTTGCAGCCTTCTAATTAGTGATCCGTTCCTATTTTCTAAAGAATAGATTCCTATGTACACAGAAAGTGTGTAGAGTGAGTGTGAGCAGGTGGGGGACTTGTTGTGTTTTTTCATTTCATTGAGCCTTAGTTTCCTCCACTTTAATATTATGATTGCAACCCTTATTTCATCCACTTGTAAGAGTTGAGACCAGATTATTCCTGAAGAGTGCTGAGTGTGGCCTCTGGCACATAGTAGATGCTTAGTAAATATTACTACTGCTCCCCTCAACCCTATTCAGTCTTTTCCTATATAAGGAGTGAAAAGGGGATCAGATCTTTGATTTGCTCAACTGTTTCTCTGTGTCCTAGATGCTACCATGTTCTCATAGCTTCAGCTGTCAGGTTGATTGATTTTTCAACGCACGCTGGATCTGCTCTGTATACTGACTTCAGTTTTGAGCAAGAATTGTTAATCAGGGGTCCATGGATAGCCTTGAGAAGGTCCATGGATCCTTTTCCCCCTCTAAATTGTATGTAAATTTTTCATATGTATGAACACTTGGTGAGGATGAGGTAGTCTATCCTCAGATTGACAAAGGTGTTCATATACCTAGAATGTTAAGAATTTCACAGAAGGAAATTATTTACTAAGTATCTAAAGACGACATGGTGTAGTGCAGGAGCGATACAAGATGTTTTGTGTATATTATCAATATTTTACTCCTCAACAACATCCCTGCAAAACAGGTGCTTTAAACAAATTTTAGTTATTATTTTTTTCTTTTTTTATAGAAGATGTTTTATCCCTGATTAAAAGTTGAGGAAACTGAGGCACGGAGACATTAAGTTAGGAAGCAATTGACTAAGGTTCTGTAGCAGTGCCTGTTGGACAGCAGAGACCTTGTCTGAGCTGGGACCGGGGTTGGAAAGGCATCATTTGCAGATGTCTACTGAAGTATGACAAAAATTAAGATCTTTGCCCTCTAGCAGCTGAGCAGGAAAGAAGTGGGAGAAGGTCATGTATAAAAATAAAGACAGGAAAAAAACTTTGCATAATAGAGGGAATTTATGTTTTATCTTTTGGGGAGAGGGGAATCATTGAAAAGTCTTAGAGATTGGAGAAAATTAGAGTATATATTTAGGTTTGGGGTAAGGAGCTATTAGAAGGAGATTTTGTGTAGAAAAGGAGCTATGAAAAAAAAAAAGAGAAGCAGCTATGAGGTCCCTTCTGTGGAGGAGGTGGTGGGTTGGTGACCAAGAGCCAGGTGGAGAGATTCCTTTGAGCTGGAGAAGGCACTTCTTCCTTGGAAACCTGAGGGAAGGAAGTGGAAATGGACTCATAATTGTGAAGAAGAGAAGCAGAAAGCAAACAGACCCAATAGCCTTAACTTTAAGAGAGGGCCTCCTGCTGGAGCCGGGAATCGAGGAAGTTTGGAGTAGCATGAAGAATGAAAGATTTGGGGATTCCAGAAAGGATTTGCCAAGGAGTACTGATGTGAGTTATAAAGAGAGAGCCAGAGGGGTGTTTTGAACAGCAGGATGTTGTTCTTATTAGTATTCTCTTAATGAAAAAAAAGATAATTTGAACCTAGTTGGTTGTAATTTTTGATTGTTGACTAATTTGGTGGTAGAGCCTTAATTTTTTTCAGTATGTCTTTTTAAACATTTTTATTATTCATTTGAAGCTCTTTAATTAAAGGTTCCTCTGTTAAATAATTATATATGTGAGCAAGCAGATAATGGGAGGTTTTAGAGAACAGAGCTGGGTTGATGCGTAAAGCCATATTCTTTTGTGATTGGAGAGGAGGGTCAGAGGGCCAGGCTATGAAATGCCTTTCCGTGGAAGCTTCTAGGAATGGAGAAGTCCGTGTGAAGCCATCCTGACTTTAGCATTTTTGGCTTGCCACAGATCTGCTTTGAAGGCCTTTTCCTTCTGTACTTGTGTTGGCTGAATTTTTCCTGTTCTTGTCGTCGCTTGTCGTCCTCAGTCGTGTCCAACTCTTTGTGACCCCATGGGCTGTAGCCGACCAGGCTCCTCCATCCATGGGATTTTCCAGGCAAGAGTACTAGAGTGGGCTGCCATTTCTTTCTCCAGGGGATCTTCATAGCCTATTACTCATTTTCACTGGTAATCCCTAAATTGATTACTTTTCTGTTTTCCTTCTCCTCCTGCAAATGCTCTTAAGTCTTCATGTCAGCATATTTGAATTCTGATTGTGATTCTGCCTCTCAATTATCTTTTGTGATTAAGGAGGTTTAATAAAACAAGAGAATAGAAGATTGAATCAAAGTAGCTGATTTTTTTAAAAATTCAGGTATAATATATAATATTGGTTTAGTTTCAGGTATATAGCATAATGATTCAGTATTTATATGTATTGTCAAATAATCACCACAATAAGTTTAGTTAACATTCATCACCATACATAATTACAGTTTTTTAAAGGATCTGATTAATTCCAACTCTGTTACTTAAATATGCCCTTTAGCAAGTCATTTCACTTTTGAATCTATTTTTTTCATTTATAAAATTATAATAATGGCATTACATGTTGAGCATTCACTGTGTGTCAGGAACTATGCTGAAGGTTTTTGTATGTTATTTCACTAATTATCATAATAGTACTGCAGAGGAGGTAGTGTTTTCCCAGTTTTAAAAGCAAGGAAACTGAGACTCAGAGAAGTTAAGTAATTTGTATAGCGTAAGGTACAGACACTGGATTTGAGTGTCCAAGTGTGTAAAGCTCCAAAGCCCTACACTACCTTTTATTTCTTAATCCTTTGATTTTGTATAGTGTTTTACATTTACAGAATACTTCCACTAGTATAAGCTCACTTAATACATCTGCATTGTGTTTGTCCAAACGTGGAACGTGATTGTGACTGAGGGATTTGTTCAAGGTCACAGTCTAGCAAGTGACAGGTCTCAGGCCCCAAGCTAGTTGCCTTTGTCCTGTTTGTAGTGCGTGTAAAATAATGGGAATGCAGCACAGCGTACCATGTAAAATGTTAGGGGCTCTCCACGGCAGGACACTGTTCCCCATTGACGATCCCGCGTGTGTAAGCACTCAGCACTCCTCAGCAGTTTTGAATTCCTTGAACAGATGTTGATCAGGTCCATCAAAATCTCCTAGAAATGCATTGACTGGCCTGTCTTGGGGGTGACTCAGAGCACGTGGTAACAGTCGGTGAGGGACATTTCTCTGCTGGTTGGAGCCAAGCGTCAGTGCTGGCTTTATGTGGTTCTTGTCTGCCTGCCATCGGCTGTCTTTCTGTTTACCCTGTAGACTTGCCCATTTGTCTGGAGGTTTCTTGAGTAGGAAGATCTGACCAATAATTATGCCTCAAATGGTGTCATAAATCACTATTTCATTTAATCTTGAATCTTATCACTGAAGTAATGAAGAAGCTTATGGAGATAGACACAAGAGCTTTGAGATTTCTGAAATCAGCACATCTCTGGAGGATTGGGTGAGAGTCATGAGATAGGAATTCCCAGCTGAATATAAAGGATTGTGTAAATATCCTTTATGTGACAATGTGAAATAAAAATGTGATCTTAATTATTAGGAGTAATATTTAAAGATATGCTATACTACAAATAAGTTTTGTTACATCTGGGAATGCAATCCTATATTAGACTTTCCCTATCATCTCTCCATATATTGTATATTAATTAAAGTTTATTGAGTTGAATTCAGTAACTCCATATTTCTGGAAAGCAGACTTTTCATTAATAATGTACTGGTCTGCATAGTTATATTATTTTTAATAAACAGTAATAAGTTATTCCTTCTCAACTCTGTCACTTTGGAAGGTGATTTTATTTTATTTGTGTTGGTGCATTTCCCCTCGAAAACTGAATTAAAGGACTCATCTTTTCACTTATAGGAAATGATGAACGTTCATGACCATTATCAGAGAATGAAACATGTAATTTCAGCTGACAAATCCAATCCGGAAAAATCCCTCAATTTGATAAAAGATGATTTTTTTGACAATATCAAGAACATAGTTTTGGAGCATCAGCAGTGGCACAAAGACAGAAAGGTTTGTAACTGATACATCACCTTTGCATTTGCATCGTCCATGACTGGCTGAACATGGGTGAGGGTGTTGAGAGGCAGCCTCGTTTACTGGCTACCTCCTATGAAACGAAGATCTGGAGGGCCTAACTTCTTTAGTTTCAGCTTTACCAGTTAGTAGCTAAGTGATGTTATTTAACCTTACAAATGGGTTTTATGTGTAATAATATATTATTATATAATTATAATTGCAACTATATAACATATAGTTAAATAATATCCATTTAATATATATGTACACACTAGGTAGTATACATAATTATAGGGAAATAAATAATCTTGGTGTACCATGGATTTAGTACAATCTTTAGAATTTAGCATTCTGTGGAGGTTGCACACAGGCTGTCTTTAAGCCAAATCCTACACATAACTTTTTTTTTTCCCTTTGCATAGCACTGTTCCTAATGTTTTAAAAACTTGAACTAATTACCAACATTTAAATATTTTTGGTCTTAAGATTCCAGACATCTGACTTCTCTTAAAGGTGAGAGGTTTGGCTATACCGGTCCTGCTTTGCTGCATGGCAGCGGATGGCTCGACTTCATGGTGGCTTCTCCCATTGTGACAGAGTGCATACTCTCTCTTCACCAATTCTCTACCTGCCTTGGTTTAACTGTTTACAAATCTCATCAATGCAAATCTTCCATTTAGTTTTCTGACCCAAATGCTGATGCTCGAGCTGCCCATATTCCATGTTAGTCTTTTCAGCTAGAGAAACTTAACTCTGGAAACCTGAAGGCCAGCCTTGCTAAATTTCCCTTTGAAACCACTACTCCATCTAATTTTACTAAATAATTCTAGGAAAAAGATAAAAGAAAAAAGCAAGTAATTTCTTATTACTTACTATGTGTTTAATAATGTGTTAATGTCTTCACAAATGCTAGAAAGGCATTTTTATATGTTATCTTTCATCATTATGTGTTATGTATCAGAGAGATTTGTTGCTACTTGTTGACTTATATAAAGGATAATGGCTCAAAACTCAATTTTATAAAAGATGAACAAGGAAAGTGATGAGATGACAGCCTTGGGAAGGAGGAAATAATTTGCTTCCTCTATGGACATTTATTTTAATGAGAGCACATTTTAGAATGTTTGACTACTTTTAAGTGCTACAGCTGGGTTGCACAGATGACCTAGGCACTTAGGTAAACATCTTTTGTAGCACTGTCTTAACTCATTTTAATGATCATGACTAAGACCTTTGAAAACCTGAAGGAAAGGAGAATAAACCAGTTTTCTAACGACCACATAAATCTGCATATTATCTTTCATTAGTTAAGATTGACTTTTATTGATTTTGTAATTCTAATGAAACCTAACCATGATCTTAATGTCTGGTGGTGAGCCATGCTTCAATACTTGTGAAATATTCTTTTAGTTTTTCAGTAATTAAGTAAATGATTTCCATTGTTCTGAAAATAATTTTCAAGTTAATTTTTAGTTGGTTTGAATTGTAAATGTGTAAATATAACTTACTTTATCTTTTAGAATCCACCCTTAAAACTGAAAGTTAAAGGTGGAGAAGAAAAAAGTGAGAGAAATTCACAACAATCAGAGGTCAGAAAAATTCATTATATGATTGCTTCTGGGGCAAAGGTTTGGTTAGCTTCTTTTCATTTTCTATGTGGCTGTGATTCTGTGTATTGACCATAACATGCTGTGGTCAATGTTATAATATTAATACATACATTAGAAAATTCTGTAAGATGGGTTCTGTGAAGAGCTAGTCTGTTCTTTACTGGAAACCTTGTGAAAGACCACATGAGGTATAGACTGGGCCTGAGAATGTTCACCGTCTTCAGCAAGAGAGGGGACGGGTGGTGGCCGAAGGCGCCCTCAGTCCTTGCAGGGCCAGGGGAGGACTGTTGTAATGCTGTCTTTTTCTCCCTGCTTGTCAGTCTTCCACCAAGCATGCACCTTAAGCTACTCTCTACTGCTTTCTGCCTTCAAGGTTCTCATCCGTCTTAGTGGATGAGGCAAGAGCCATCTTTGGGCATAGGCAGATGAAGAGGGAGTGGCATAGTCACCAGGGCTCAGGCCTTTCATTCTTATCCTTTTAAAATCTTGAATGAAAACGATCAGTAGCCATGGGGTTGTTATCATGACCCCTGTTAGAAAGTGATGCATGTCTATGTGTCTTTACTTAATATGTGTCCAATAAATGTTAGTTTCTTTTACCCTACCTTCTGCCTTGAATCTTATTTCTGATAAAAAAAAAATTATTAGTGATTTTACTTAATGTTTGTGTGTTTTAACTGTTTCCCCTTCTGGGTTGTTTTTACTTCCAGAGATGTGAAAGGGCAGAATCATTAGCGAAAATAAAATCAAAGGCCTTTTCAGTTGTTGTTCAGGTAAGTTATTTACTTAATAAGGTAGTTTAGAAATTTACTGGATGCTCTTTTAATCACATTTTAATTTTTTCATCAGAGTAACACCTCTGCATAGTTTTAAAAATCTAATAATACTGTTTAGCTTATACAGTTCAGCAGTCCTGCTCCACCACTTCCTGCCGCTGGACTTCTGATCTCAAAAGGCAGCTATCTTCACCTTTTTCTCTTCTAGTTATTTTTTTTCCTGGTATTTACCTGGAATTTTGAGTTCTTTACTAATAGTCTTCCAGCTTCTAGTATTCCTAATTATGAAAGGTTTTAGAATTTTATCTTTATCCCCAGAGCTCTGGATTTTCATGATAATGTACCTTGGTGTAGGTCTTTTCTTCCACCAGTGCCCTGGGCTCTTAGGATTGACGTCCTTTTGATCTGATAGCCTTTAGTTCTGAGGGATTTTTCTATAAATGCTTCTCTGATCAAATTGTTTACTGCAGTTTTGCTCTTTTTATTTTCTGGAACTTTTATTTTCTTCTTCTTTGTTTTTATCTATTTTCAGAGAGCTTTCTTTATCTTCTGAACTATTATAATGGATTTTTAAAATTTCTGCTGACATTTTTTCATTACTAAGATTTTTTTTCTATCCCTGAATCTGTTATTAATTAAAAAATGGATCTCTTATTTTTTTCCCCCCTGGGTACAATGTGTTTATCTGTTTGAGGATGTTAATTACAGTTTTTTGAAGTTTCTTCCTTTTCTGCCAGAATTCTTATTTTTGTTTATTCTGTTCTCTGTCTTTCATTTTGGTGACTTTTTGCAAATGTTTGAAGATCTTGAGATCATATTTAAGAGTGGTCATATAGAGATACCCCGGTAGCTCAGTCAGTAAAGAAACTGCCTGCAAGTGCAGGAGACCTGGATTCAATCCCTGGGTCAGGAAGATCCCCTGGAGAAGGAAATGGCAACCCACTCCAGTATTCTTGCCTGGAAAGCCCCATGGACAGAGGAGCCTGGTGGGTTACAATCCATGGGGTCACACGAGTCGGACACAACTTAGTGACTAAACCACCATACAGGGATACAGCCTTTTAGCCTCCATGTTTTTCTTAGATCTAGCCATTTTTATCAGAGAGCAAGCTGGGGGAGGAAAGTAGTAAATAGGCCCAGCTGGCAGTGTTTCGGGTGCCTACAGAGAATCCACTGACAAGATCACCATTCATTCCTTCCAGAGACTTCATTCAACACCCCTGCTTCCAGTAAGAGGCTTCACCCCTTCCTTAGCTTTTTCTAGTGCCATCAAAACCCATCAACTGCTCTGGCTTAGCCTCTCCAGAGAGCTCACCTGTTTTGTACAGAAAGAGGTCAGTTGTTCAGCTTTGAGGCGAGAAAATGGGATACTATTCCTTCTGTAGATTTTTCACATAATCTGCACATTTTTTAATGACCCCAGTTCCTGATCCACTTGGACCAGCTTTCCTTGTTCACCTTTCTCCATCCTAAGTCAGCCATCACTTTTCCACCTCCAGAATGTTGTTGTTTTGTTTAGAGCTGTTTTGTTTCCTATTATCTCCATTTTGTGAGTTCATTCATTTTTATTCCTCTCCTCTAATTTTAGTGGGGTTTCAGGAAGGAGCACCAATAAACTTAGGTGCTTTATCTCATATTTTTTTCTGGGATTTTTTTCCCTGGATTTTTTTCATGAATCTGAAAGTGTCTTTATTCTGTGGGAAACTACTATAATTCTCTGGTTGTTGAAATAAAAGGGATTAAATGAAAAAAGTGAAAGTGACTATAGATTAGTTAAGTGTTATCAATTTGCTTTACTGCAGTTTTGAATGAAAGCATCAGGACAATAGCTTAATTATTCCAAATTCTTTTAAACCTGAACTATTTCCGTATTATATAGGCTAGTTTGTTTAATTTTTTAAGATATTATGAAATACTTTAAAAAATATTAAATTATAATCCCCATAAATTTTTATAAGAATGTGTCATTGCATGGTTGTGATTTTTTTTAATTACTGAGGTACAATTAACATATAGTGCAAGGTAGCTTTTAAACTGTTGATAATACATGTACCACATAGATGCCATTTACTGAAAACTGTTAGTTAGGGCTCTGCTTAAGCACGTAAGGGAATTTATTGACTGATGCAACTAAAAAGTCCTGGGACTCTACCTCTATTTCTCATGTCTTACATTGCTTTCACTATCTTCAAGTGGTATGTGTGACAACTCCAGCCTTCCCAGCCTTCAGTTCAGTGGAAAGGGAGAATTTTCCTTTCTAATAGTTAAACAGATTTCAAAAATTGAGTTATATCAGTGATGACAGATCACACGCCCATCCCCTGGTGGCCTTGGGGACGTGAAGCTCATTTTGACTAGATTGGGACCACATGACCATATGGAGAGTCAGGCATAAAGTAGTTTCCCTTGAAATACGTGGTGCTAACAAAGGAAAGTAAAATGTTTTTAGAAGAAAAGGAGAATAGGTTGTTAGCTGGGAAAAATATACTTGTCCTTTTTACCTCCACTTCCAACCATGCATCTACAACAATTTAACCCAATAAGGAAGTTTTAACCCAGTTTGAATAGATGATGATGACAGCTGCAAGGACCTCTTCTTGTTATAAAGATAAAAGGGTATATACACCTGTGACAAATATTAAGCAAGCAAGTATCATGGTGAAGTACTTTATGACACGTCTTTCTGTAAAATCTTTCCTCATCTTTGTCTATCTATTTTGTCATTCCCTAAGTGACCTGTTGTTCAGTTGCCCAGTCATGTCCTACTCTTTGCAACCACGTGGACTGCAGCACCTCAAGCTTCCCTGTCCCTCACCATCTCCTAGAGTTTGCCCAAGTTCATGTTCATTGCATTGGTGATGCCCTCCAGCCATCTCATCCTCTGACGCCCTCTTCTCCTTCTGCCCTCAATTTTTCCCAGCATCAGGGACTTTTCCAATGAGTCGTCTGTTCACATCAGATGGCCAAAGGACTGGAGCTTCAGCTTCATCATCAGTCCTTCTGGTGAATATTCAGGGTTGATCTCCCTTAAGATTGACTGGTTTGATCTCCAGGAGATTCTCAGGAGTCTTCTCCAGTACCACAGTTCAAAGACATCAATTCTTTGGTGTTCTGCCTTTATGGTCCAGCTCTCACAACCATACATGACCACTGGGAAGACCGTAGCCTTGACTGTGTGGACCTGTGTTGGCAGAGTAATATCTCTGCTTTTCAGCACACTACTAGGTCTGTCATCACTTCCTTGCCAGGAAGCAGTCATCTTCTGATCTCGTGGCTGCAGCACTGTCCGCAGTGGTTTTGGGGCCCAAGAAGAGGGAGTCTGTCACCCCCTTTTTCCCCTTCTATTTGCCATGCAGTAATGTTTTGCCATTCCCTAAATGATGTATTATTGGATTCATTTTGTGATTCATTGTAATTAATTAGATTTCCAACTATTTAGGCATCAAAGTCAAGAAGGCACCGTCAGGTCAAAGTTGACTTTTCTGATTCTGAATCCAGCCAAGTACAAACCAAAACAACTAGGAAAAGAAGAAACAAAGAAACGTTGAAACCAGCAGGAAGGAAAGTGTCTTCCAGAGACAGAGGTACCTTTTGAGAACCTTAAAAAGGGGAAATGGGACTTAAGTACTATCTTCCCTCACCATGTTTTCTTTATTAAAAAGCATTAGATATTTGTTTAAGAACCTTGGGAGATTAATATTAAAAATAAATTATCTTAGATTCTTGGAATCTTACTACTGAAAGGGACCCTAGAAGTCATAAAATTGGGTCATTTCATAGATGATAAAATTTAGGCCCATACAGATGAAATAACTTGTCCAAAAGTGATATGGTTATAGAATCAGTTTAGAATTATCCATATTATACTTCATTAGTAATTTTTGTGTGTGAATCAAACTTATATGTACAATAAGTTATGATAAGTAGCACATTCTATAAACCATGTTTTCCATTAGCTGTATTAACTAAGCTGTACCTGCTTTTCTTTTGAAATAGTTTATAAAGTTACCTTTGCTGTTTGGTTTTTAAAAACATGAATATGTACTCAAGTAGTTTAATTTAAGCACTGCACAAATATATTCATCATACATAAAGTTGGAATCTCATTAGCAGGCTCCAGGGGAAAAAAGTATTAAGAAACATACTAAATATTTAGTGCCTAATATAAGAAGCACACAGAAAGCCACTGCAGCACTATATGAAGATATGTTAATAGCCTTTTAGCATGTTTTTTTTCCTATATTGAGATAGTAGAGGGAGAATTTAAGTTCAGTACCTTTAATATAGTCCAGATATGATAAGTTCCATCAATTAATGCATGAAGTGCTTTGAGAATTCAGAGGTGGAGATACTACATTTGTTAAGGATAATTAAGAAATACTTCCGAAGGAGAATTTTTTTTTTTTTAGTCTTCTTTACAGGGCTAGAATGTATTGTGAAGAAAGCTGTTAGGCCAGTCTTGTAAGTATTAATGAAAAAATTCTAAGTTATATGTTTCAGAAGAATCTCAGATATAGAACAGCTTGATTGTATACATTCATTTTATGATGCAGGGATGGTGCAGTTAGGAATCTATCAATATGATTTGCTGTATAAATAGGTTAAAGGGGGAAATGTGAATTCATTTAAATAGTTACCCAAGAAAACATTTGATTAAATCTAGCATCCATTCTTGATTTTAAAAAATATCTCTAGCTGTTGGGAGTCAAGAGACTTTCTGTAAAGGGCCAGATAGTAAATATTTTAGAGCTAAGTGGAACTTTCATACATTTTTTGTGGGAATTCAGAATGGTATAGTCACTCTGGAAGACTGGCAGTTTCTCATAAAGTTAAACATATACTGACCATATAACACAGCAATCCCATTGCTGAGAAATGAAAACTTACATTCACACAAAAATTTGTATATGTAAGTTTATAGCAGTTACATTCAAATTACAAAAGATTGCAATCAGCCTAAATGTTTTCAGCTGGACATTATGTAAATGTGATATACCATACAGTTGAATACTACTCAGGAATAAAAGAACTATTGATACATCTAATAACACAGATAAATCTCAGTGTACTGTGCTAAGTGAAAGAAGTGAGACACAAGAAAAGCTGTATACAATATGGCTCCATTTATAAGATATTTTGGAAAAGGTGAATCTACAGGGACATAAAAACAATTGTTGATTCCTTGGAACTGGGGGTGGAGAGAAGTGATAACTGCAAAGGGGCACGAAGCAAATTTTTGGTGTGATGATCTGTTCTGTAGTTTGATTGCAGTGGTGCTTGCATGACTGTGTTTATCTAAACTCCTAGATCTGTACTACCTTAAAAATGGTGAATTTTATTATGTATTAATTCAAATCAGAGCAGAGGACATGAGGTAAAGATGGATTTGTTTGATTATACTTAAAAAATTAACTTTTGGTAGATTTGGTTGCTTTTTGTAAGGTGTCAGCAAAGATACTTAGTTTTAGAAGCCTACACAGGCAGTTTTTTATTAATAGTTGATCTTGTTTCATTTAAGTGCAGCAGAAAGTTCAAGCTACTTTCTTAAACATCGGGAAAACAATTTTTTTTTGGGTGGGGGGGAAGAGAATGCTTCTTTATTTCAGAAAGACACATCAATTTTCAGATCAAAACAATTAGTTTCTTGGTTTTTCTTTCTCTCAATCAGCCTCCAAAGAGACCACACCAAAGGAGAGTCCATTTTAAGCAAATTAAGCTTTAGGATACATACTTAATAGATCTCACTGAAACCTCACCAAAATAAAATTTAAGAACAGTTTTGTACATAAGCTATTCAAGATTTCTCCCGCACTAGCTGCTGGAAAGCACAGTGAGATGGCAGTTTTATTAGAGACAGCAGCTTCAGACCCAGAAAAGTGGGAAGAGATAGATAGATCAGTGGCAAAATATGATATTCTTTCCTTTCAGGAAAACAGTTTTTTTATGCAGTTGAAGAGCAAAGAAGGAGCCAGATGCAAGCTAGGAAAGAAATTTAATTGAAAGTTCCTTTTCATCTGAAGCATTTGACACATGTAATTTGTGAAAGATCACTTCCTTCACTAGCCATATTTTTTTTACTTAATGTAGTTACCTAAAACATTTTCATAAACTCTGAAATTAACTTTTAAAGATGGCTGAGATTTGTTATTGAATTTACCTACCTAGGTGTATTAGGGAGGATATAACCCATGAGAAAGAAAGTACAGTAAGATGTGATCTGAATTAAAATCTTTAATTATAACTCAACTATTCCAGCTAACTCCAGCTTTGTAGCTCAGAAGGTATTGTAAATACTTTGAAGCAGAGGTAATTTGTTATTCTTCACCTTAATAAAGATTCAAGTGCTTACTAAAAAGATTCTCTTTAATCAAAAATTTCATTAAAGTAGAAAAGTATGTTTGGTGGGGATTTGTCCAAGTGACAAAAACACAGAGGACATTGATTGCAGGATTATTTGAAATGGCAAAGACTGTTAACAACTCAAATGTATAACATTGAAAAATTGGGTACATAAAATTTTTGTCCATATAAAGGAATATTTTGCTGTTCCTAAAAAGCTGGAGAAAGTTTTCTGTATACTGACATGAAAATATGTCCAAAATATATTGATACATTGCTTAGTGAAAATGTTTTTTTAAAGAAGAGTATGATTCATTTGTTAATAAATACATATGTAGACACAAAGCTACTATAATATAAAATAGATAAACAACGTCCTACTGTATAGCACAGGAAAGCATATTCAATATCTTATAATAAACTATAATAGAAAAGAACTTGAAAAAGAGTAATATGGGTAATCAAGTAATCAAGGCTTCCCTGATGGCTCAGATGGTAAAGAATCTGCCTGCAATGTAGGAGACTCGGGTTTGATCCCTGGGTCAGGAAGATCCCCTAGAAAAGGGAATGGCTACCTACTCCAGTATTCTTGTCTAGAGAATTCCATGGACAGAGGAGCCTAGCAGGCTGTGTAGTCCATGGGGTTGCAAAGAGTTGGACACGACTGAGCAACAACACTATACACACACACACACACATATATAAACTAAATCACTTTTTTGTACACTAGAGACTACATTGTAAGTGAACTATAATAAAAAAATAGGCAGACAGAAGTTTTATATATATATATCTTTGAAGAAAACTAGATGCATATAACAGAGGTTAATTCTCAGGGATGGGATCATGGAAATTTCTAAGTCCATAAATTTCCATAATGTTTTTACTTTTAGAGGATAACCATGTTTAATAGTCAGGAAAAATCCAAAAATTAAAAAGCAAACAAATGTAAAATAATTGCTTAGACTAAGACAAGATGGACATGAAAAAAGGCAAGGTGGTAGAAAGTACAGGATACGAAGGTTCCATTTTATGTGGATTGTGACGGCTGTATTGAAGAGTTACTGTTAATATAGAAAGATATGTTGAGAATTGGATTGTGACCAGGCCTGAAGTGTGGAACCAAGAAATTTGGACTTCATTTAGTAGGCGGAAGGGAATCTTGTGAGACTGCTGAGCAAGCTAGTGGTGTCACCACTTTTCTTTGAAGATCAGCCTGGGCATAGTATGGTAGTTAGGTGGGAACACGCTGAAAGTGGGAGCTCTGAGTAAGAGGCTGTTGAGGAGTAATGAGGACCTGGCCGGGTGGTTGTAGGGATTAGACAGGCAGACTGACAGGAGAGCCAGTGGCTGTCTACAGGTAACCACATACAGAGGCTGGTGGAGAGAGGTGAGACTGGGACGCTTACAGCCTCAGTAACTGGGGCTGTAATTTCGATTTAACAGAGTGAGGATCACAGGATGACAATTTCATTTGGGGGGAGAATTTGCCGCAATCTGTCTTTCCAGGCTCAATTCTTGTAAAGGGTGTCTAGTGCATAAATAGGTGCTCACATATATTGATTGGATTTACCCACGTTTGTATTATTTAAGCTTTAGCTACACCTGTTCACCATTCCTAGAACACAACATGCAGCCTTCTGGAAGAACATCAGTTAATAGTAATGGTGATACACGATGGTGAAGATAACAACTATTACTTATGTAACACTCTTTCTTTTTAATTTTTTAAAAATTTTAATTTTTTTTTTTTAACACCAAAAACATTTTGTATTGGGGTATAGCCAACCAACAGTGTTGTGATAGTTTCAGGTGAACGGTGAAGGGACTCAGCCATACATACACATGTACCCATTCTCCCCCAAACTCCCCTCCCATCCAGCCTGGCACATAAAATTGAGCAGAGTTCCATGTGCTATACAGTAGGTTTTTGTTGGTTATCCATTTTAAATATAGCAGTGTAACACTCATTTTCTGCTGAACTTTTTTCCCACATCCAAGGTCACCTAACTAATATTTAGAGCTGAGACTTGAGTGGCAGTCTGCTTGAATTGAAGCCTGAGTCCTTAACTGCCATTATTGCTATCTCTCAGGTAATTGGAAATGTGACTCTGGAGCTCCGATTAGACCTGCACTTAAGTAATTGTTGTATTCTAGCTCCATGTCCTGTAATCATATGTGTTGAGATGGAGCAATAATCTGTGACTTACAGTTGCATCCCACGTGATGAGCTTGGAGCAGAGGAAAACTATCAACCTGACACCCTCTAGGAAGTTAGTTTTGTGGATAACTGAGGTTAATGATTTAAATGGCAAAATTTACTTTTTAAACAGTTAATTATTCTGGTTGATATCTTTCTAAAGCATACTACATGCTTCTGTATGTGGTTCTTATTTTCTGCAATGTGCATTTATCATTTTTACATGTATTTTATGCTCTCCTATTTTCTTGAACATGTATCCTGAACATAATTTAGTTTTTGCTTTATGATTCAGGGTTTTCATCTTGAGCATATTCTTTTTACTGGATTTTGTAATATAGTAATCCTATCAGATATCTTGATCACTATACTGTGGCTTCGTGATGCAGGACTGTCCTTGTTTTTCTGTCACATTTGTGTGGTAGGTGTCTTTATGTTCTCTGTGCAAATGTAGCAGGTTTTGCCCTTTTGCTGCTGCTTTAACTAGTGGGTTTTAAGAAGCAGGTTGGCCGTTTGTTTCAGTTTTATGTAAAATAATTAGGTTTTGGATAAAGGCCTGAGGAACATATTGTGAGCTTTTGTAACTTTTATTTAATATGTTGACTCTGAGATAAACATCCTGAAGTTTTGTGTGTTCACTTCTTGGTTCCTAGCTGCATAACTGGATGAAGCATTTTATTTTGTTTTTAAGAGCTTTTGGAGAACATTGCCTTTCTTTTTTATTCATTTAATGTAGAAATGATATCTAAGATGTAGTTAATTATCATGTGACTAGATGAAGGTTTTCTTGCATAGCTGACAGTTTTAAACTCAGAACTCCTTCCCTTGACATTGTTGCATAGATTCTCTTAGGTTATAAATGTGGGTTTGAAAAAATCATTAATAGTTGATACGGATGAATATGGCGCAAGATTGTTAAGAAGAGTATTAGTAATTTGGGATAGATTGTACTGATTATAATCTTGGTTTGAATTGTGTTTAAAATGGAAGCTTTTTGCTACAGTTAACTTTATCTAGAGCAATCTCTTCATTCCATAAAATCTGCAGCCCATTAAGATGCCAGCATATGTGTGTTTAGAGCAGAAAGCTTAAACTCATTTTCATTGAATTTGTTGCCTTCTGTACTGGCAGGTACTTAGTAACACATACACTCTGTGAAATACTGTGTTATAAAATACTTGAATCCATATTTGATTATTCGTGGTTCATTGAGGCCCTCCTCTATGCCAGGCACTTTTCTAAGTACTGGGGATACATCAACTTAACCAAACCAGAGTCTGTCCTTGTGAAGTTTACATTCTAGTGGGAAGAGGCAGGCTATAAAGAGACAAATTACTACAGATAACATGTAGAATAAGTGTTGTGGAGAAGAATCAGGAAGCATAAGAAATAAAGAGTGACTGTGTCAAGGGGTTGCCATGACCAGAAAATGATATGCTGAATGAGACCTGTTTTCACAGTGGTATTTGATAATTTGATGAGGATATTTCTTCAGGCAACAGAAGGTCGCTATAGAAAACCTCCAATCTTAACTGTGTTTCTGATGTTTGTGCACATTTTCCTTCACTGTAATGTGATCTTACAATTGTTTGTTAGATTAGTGAATAATGATCCTAAAAGGAACAGATTTTGTGTGTGTGCTTGTGTATGTGAGAATGCCTTATTTTCAGCTTGTTTTATTTAATAATGGTTCTTGGACAGCATTCTGGTGTTCAGCAACCAATATAGAATATTTGTCATTAAGTCTGTATCAGTCTTAAAAGACTGTTAACTTTAGAATTACATGTGTGATTGACTTGAAGTAACACATGATTATTCCATGGTGTCTGCAGATATAACCCATGCTGTGTGTGATAAGGATTGAATCCTGTATCAGTGTTTGGCTAATTTTGTTTCTTCTCTTTTCCTGTGTTTTCTTTAATGGAAGAATTAGAGCGTATTTTCAAAACCTAGGTATAAACATATGAATACTTTAAAAAATGATATGTATTTTAAAATGCATATTTCTGTTCACTATTACAATTTTAGCTTTTAAACACCTAATATGTGCTATTATAGTATTATCGTAATTTGTGTAAAATTTTTCACGAAGATTAACATTCTTTGTTTTCATATAAAATTACTTGTTTAACTCTTTCCAGGTGACATGCAGAATCTACATAAGGAAGATAATTCTTTAAGTCTGAGTATGCCTGTGGTTGCAGAAGAGGATGAGGAGAATGAAAGTTTTAGTGAAACAGGTACAGATGAAAGTTTGTCAAACTCCTGGTAGAACTTCAAGGTTTAGAACCCAGAAGGACAACTGTGTGTCCCTGTGATGTTTTTATCTTTGGTACACTGGAGAATTTTACCATTAATCCTGACACTTAAAAGTAAGTGATAATCCAGTAAATGAATGTATATGGACCAGCAGTGGTCAGTGAAGGAGAGGGAATACATCGTTATTAGTAAGTGAATATCTGTAATCATGAGAGTTTCTGAAATGTATTCCTAACAAAGGGCAAAGTTCACAAAGTGAGTTGCTGGCTATAACTTCTAAAAAAATATTTTACTGCTAAAAATTTCTCATTTCAAATTCTAGTAAAATTTTTACCTATGAGATGATGATTGTAACTCAGTGGTAAATTGCACAATGTGATTTAAAATGCCTGTACCTTTTTGTGTTGCTGTGCTTTTCATAATTTATAATATTTGTTAAACAATAGTTTAAATAAATATCTCTAATAATAATTACAGTAACATAGAGAATAAGTCATATTTAGCTGGCTAGGCTTGATATTTGTTAAGCCATCAGTGATAATGAATATAATACATATCAAGAATCCGCCTAATGATGTTTCCGTTTTGGTGCTGTATCCATTCAGCAAACATTTATTGAGTGCCTGTTATGTTTAAAGTGGTTAGCTAGGTATGGGAATATAAAGATATATAGTACCAGAGTTTTAAGAACTGTTTTATTTTGATCACAGTGAATAGATCTGAGCACAGTGAGTGGCTCATAGTGGGCCTAAGTTACGACTGAATGAATCATATCAGTCCCAGCCCCAGAGAACCTTATGGCTTAGTGGGAAGAAACAAAATGAGCCAGTACATCACGGTAAAGAGACTGGGTGCTGTGGAGCCATACAGAAGACAAAGACAAGAGAGAGTCTGTTGCGCAGAAGTCTGAGCGCCTCTGATTCGCTTTGTCAGCGTAACACCGTTCTTTGTAATCCTATATAGTCCCGTATAGTTTCAGACTATAGTTGCTTTCTAGTTTTGTCTAGTGGCTTTTATTGCAAGTAAACAAACACATGTACACTTTTATGGCTACCTGGCAAGTCATTCTAAAATCTATCAGCGCGTGAGTTTTAAAAATTTGGTTTTTATTAAATACATAAGCATATAATTTACTATTAATTTTTTAATACTGATTATAAGAAACCATGGACTTCTGACTCTGACTCCCATTTCTTATTCCCTGAGACAACCACTTTTAACTCTTTGATAATTATTTTGGTATTGACCTCCATGTTTCTAAATAGCATGTTTATATTGTCACTTATTCATATTTCAGTTCTATGAATTATCTGTTGACTTTCCACGTTGAGGAGGGCAAGGATTTAGTTCTCCTTAATGTAACAGGTGCACAACATGATGGATATTTCTGTACACTACAAAGCGATCACCATGAGAGATACATATATATATATATATATATATATATATGGTTACCTCTGTCACCATGCAAAGATGTTACAGTATAATAATTTTATATATTCTTCACCTCCCAACCCAAACACATGATACTTCCTATCCCCCACCCTCCAAGTATAGTAATTATTTTAGTTACGTGAGTATTCAGCATTTATGAAACATTATTAGCAGCAGGGCCATCTAACATAATCTGTGATTCTCCCTTAATCTGAGCATTTATTGTTGGCCTTAGAGAGTTAATAATTTTTTTGCCTTATTAATTTGTTTCTTTATGTACTTATCACTAATTTATCCTCAGACTGTTGTTTGATGTATAAATCTTCCCCTTGAAACACTTGAGCACATTAGGCATTTTACCACTGTCACCTTTTTAAGGAGGTCTCCACCAGGTCTCAGACTTGCTCTGTATACTCTTGGCCTGACACTGCTGCCTTCCAGGAATCTGTTTTCTTTTTCTTCTTAATTTTGTCTTTGTCTTTTCTCATTCCTTTTTCTGTCATCATCTTTTAGTTTTCATTGATGGGGAATATTTCTTTCTTCTATGTCTTCCATAGTTTTCATGTTTTGTATCTTCTGTTATTTGTTTTGTTTTTAACAATCAGTGACTTTAGGCTCTTGACTCTTTCTGGATGGAGACTTAACTTGGGTATTGGTCATGGCATGTGCCACGGTAGCCAAAAAGATGCATAGTGCTAGTGTTTTGGGCCAGTGCTAACAGAAAGTGACTAAGATGTCAGTTGGAAAGCAGTTAACATCTCTAGTCACTTTCTGTTAGCACTGGCCCGGATATTGTTCCGATCTGGCATGCTGGGCCCATACTAACTATAGGGAGGGCATACCCATAGGAAACACCCTCCGAGTAGCTTATTATCAAGTAGCATTTAGCATAATTGGGATCTACATTAGTAAGTCTACAACTGCAATGTCATTTTGAAGGGAAAGATCATGTATATGTCAAGTTTAAGGTTTCTTGTATCTTTGTTGTGAAGTTTTCTTACTGTTATACCAGCCTATTTAGTTTAAATGTTTAGGTTAAATACTTAATTAAATCAATTAAGTATTATTCTTTTTTAGATCTGACAGACGCCTTAATTTTTTGTCTTTAGAGTTCACTGCACCCAAGAGGAGAAGAAAACAGAGAACAAAAAGCTAGGCTCCCCACTCCAGTATCCTTGGACTTTCCTGGTAGCTCAGCTGGTAAAGAAGCCACCTGCAAAGCGGGAGACCTGGGTTTGATCCCTGGGTTGGGAAGATTCCCTGGAGAAGGGAAAGGCTGCCCACTCCAGTACTCTGGCCTGGAGAATTCCATGGACTGTATAGTCATGGGGTCACAGAGAGTCAGACATGACTGGGCGACTTTGACCTACTCACTTATTCACATGTAAATTGTTAGTTATTTTATATCTACAGTTTGGTAACAGATTTGTTTATGGTGTATATTAACTATTGTATATATTATGTTGTAAAGTGCACTAAAGTTTTTGCCATAATTTGCTTTATTTTTTTAATATTTGAGACTTATATGGTCAGTAACTTATATGATTGATAACTTAGAAAGGTCAGTTTTTACTTCTGTAATCAATTAAGTATCCTTTGGTGCTTGTTTTAAAGCTCCCTTTGGCCTAACATGTCAGTATGTATACGTGCATGTTTATGTATGTATAGATATATCTGTGTCCATTTATGCATATAATATGACTAGTCAATACACTGGGTACAACATTTAAATACTGATTATTCTAATAAAACCTTTAAGAACATGTCTGTGGTACAGAAAGGTGGTACTCACAAAAAAATTCTGTAGCTTCGTGAATGTGCCTCTGTTAATTTCTCATTTGAGAGATTTAGATGGAGATTGCTTCAGCCATACTGTTTGAATTGCTGCCAGTAGCAGACCACCTGCGTATCATGTGGCTGGCTCAGCCTGTCTTAAAGTTGATTATACTCTGTGTTGTTTTCCCATGTGGTATGTTCAGGACTTCTGCAAATGCCCTGTGAGGGAAAATAATGCTAGCCCAGGTAAAAATTTCATTTATTAGAATCTGTGCTATAATGTTAGCTGTGAAACAGAACTGTTTCCCTTGCCTGATTTCAGATTTTTCTGATAATTGAGGGACAGTTTCTATGATAGGTATATTGGACAGAGCTTCTAGGGTTTAAATATTCTAGCACTGGGGCTTGCAGAGATGTGGATCCATTACCTGGCAACTTATATACCAGGTTATTTGCTAGGCTTCTTTGGATCATTAAATTTTACAAACATTGTATAACCAAAACAGTGAGTTTTCCTCTTATTTTTTCACAACTGTACTTTTAAAAGGTATTATTTCACTTGTACAGTGAAAAAACTGTACCTGTGGATGATAAATGCCTTGCCCACATTCACAAAGTTAGTGGTGCATCTAGGATACATATACAGGGCTCTGGCTTATAATTTCAGAGTCAGTTTTATATAAGCCAACACAGGTGGCAATCCAGATGGACTGAAAGCAGTAAAATCCCACTTCAGATGGCTTAAATATTAAGGGAAGCTTATCTGAAACCAGTTGGGCTTCCGTGTGGGGTGGCTCTGGGTTATATAGTGTCTGAGTGCCATGATGGCTTCATTTTCCCAGGTGTGGATCTTTAGGGAAAGCTTTATATCCGTGCAGAGAGCTGTTTACCTGCTGGATTCCCAGACTCCAGCTGAGGGGCAACCTTGCAAAGCAAGCCTTTTTAGGACAGTAGTCTCAGGCCTGCTCTGTCACCTCTAATGCATAGGTTCATTTCATTTTTCACTATTTCAAACAATGCTGCATTGATCTTTGTGTGTGTATCTTGACTCACTTACATTGGTGTTTCTGCTGGATCAATCTGATCTACACATGAATTTGTTGAACACTGTGTATATATAAAATTTTGGTAATTATGCCAAATGGAACTGTAAAATGCCTGCCAATTTACATTCCTACCAACAGTATTTGCAGAGGACCCTTGACCTTCCCTGGTGGCTCAGATGATAAAAAATCTGCCTGCGGTGCAGGAGACCTGGGTTCAGTCACTGGGCTGCGAAGATCCCCCTGGAGAAGGGAGTGGCTACCCACGCCAGTATTCTTGCCTGGAGAAGCCCATGGATAGAGGAGCCTGGCAAACTAGTCCATGAATTTGCAAAGAATCAGACATGACTGAGTGACTAACACTTTCTCCATTACGTTATCGGTTTTTGTCAATTGAATACAGCAGAATCTTAAGAGCAGAAAATGTAGAAAGACAGATAAAAAGTAACAAAATTGGAGTACAGAGTACATCATGTGAAATGCCAGGCTGAATAAAGCACAAGCTAGAATTGAGATTGCCGGAAGAAATACCAATAACCTCAGACATGCAGATGACACCACTCTTATGGTAGAAAGGGAAGAGGAGCTAAAGAGTCTCTTGATGAAAGTGAGAGAGGAGAGTGAAAAGGCTGGCTTCAAACTCAACGTTCAAAAAACGAAGACCATGGCATCCAGTTCCATAGCTTTATGGCAAATAGATGGGGAAACAACGGAAGTAAGTAGTGACAGACTTCATTTTCTTAGGCTCCAAAATCATTGCGGACGATGACTGTCACCATGAAATTAAGCCGCTTGCTCCTTGGAAGAAAGGCTATGGCAAACCTAGACAGTGTATTCAAAAGCAGAGGCATCACTTTGTTGACCAAAGTCCATATAGTCAAAGCTATGGATTTTCTGGTAGTCATGTACGGATGTGAGAGTTGGACCATGAAGAAGGCTGAGCACCAAAGAATTGATTCTTTCGAACTGTGGTGCAGAGAATACTCTTGAGAGTCCCCTGGACAGCAAGGAGATCAAACCTGTCAATCCTAAAGGAAATCCACCCTGCCTGAATATTCATCAGAAGGACTGATGCTGAAGCTGAAGCTCCAGTTCTTTGACCACCAGATGCAAAGAGCCAACTCATTGGAAAAGACCCTGATACTGGGAAAGATTGAGGGCAGGAGGAGAAGTGGGCATCAGAGGATGAGGTGATTGGACGGCATCACCAACTCAATGGACATGAGTTTGAGCAAACTCTGGGAGATAGTGAAGGACAGGGAAGCCTGGCATGCTGCAGACCATGGGGTCACAAAAGAGTCAGACATGAATGAGCAACTGAACAGCAACAACAAGCCCATCTAAGATCCCATCTGGGTTCATAACCCTTTTCTCTTAATGCCTCAAATGTCCTAACTGTGAGTGGATGTATTTAAAATGAGGAACCATTCCCAATCTCCTTAACACCCAGTTAAAGTGCTTGTTTCCTGAGACAGACACAATTGTACCATCTGCAAATTATTTTATACTGCCAAGGGAGAGATACAGAACCAGCTGTTTTTGTCTTCTATAGGGATTTCCAGAATAGTGATGTGATTGTTCAGTTTCCAAGCCATATCCGGGTTTTCGAGATCCCTCAACTATAGCATGCCAGGCTTCCCTGCCCTTCACTAACTCCCCGAGTTTGCTCAAACTCCTGTCCATTGAATGATGCCATCCAACCATCTCTTTCTCTGTTGCCCCCTTCTCCTGCCCTCAGTCTTTCCCAGCATCAGAGTCTTTATCAGTGAGTTGGCTCTTTGTATCAGGTGGCCAAAGTATTGGAGCTTCAGCTTCAGCATCAGTCCTTCCAGTGAATATTCAGGGTTGATTTTCTTTAAGATTGACTGGTTTGATCTTGCTGTCCAAGGGACTCTCAAGAGTCTTCTCCAACACCACAGTTCAAAAGCCAGATATAATCCCTTGAATCTATTTTTCACGTCCACTGTATAATCGTAAGGGATTTGATTTAGGTCATACCTGAATGGTCTAGTGGTGTTCCCTACTTTCTTCAATTTAAGTCTGAATTTGGCAATAAGGAGTTCATGATCTGAACCCCAGTCAGCTACTGGTCTTGTTTTTGCTGACTGTATAGAGCTTCTCCATCTAGAAGAAACCAGCAGCTCCTTAACCTAGCTCTTTTACTTGTAATACGCCCTTATTACTGGATTTTGTTTTCTAGCCATTCTGACAACCTTTGTCTTTTCAATGCAGCGCAAAATATTTCAGTCAGAATGAATGTATGTAAGAGCTGAAGATTATTGAATTATTTAGATTTCTTTCTATCTTGTTTTGTGCTGTTTGTGCTGGGTGTGTGTGTTTAAGACATAATTTTTTTAGCGCAGTTTTAGATTTGTAACAACATGGAAAGGAAAGTACAGAAAGTTCCTATATAATCCCTGTCCCTACACATAAATAACTTCACCTATGTCCTGGTTTTTATTTTTGTTTTTTCCTTCTGCTTTCTTATGTTTTTATGGATTGAATTTTTTAATACCCATTTTTCCCCCATTGATTGCCATGGAAGTTACAGTCTTTATTTATTCTTTTGGTGGGTACTCTAGATATTTAACGGAGAAGACAATGGCACCCCACTCCAGCACTCTTGCCTGGAAAAGCCCATGGACGGAGGAGCCTGGAAGGCTGCGGTCTAGGGTCACTGAGGGTCGGACACGACTGTGCGACTTCACTTTCACTTTTCACTTTTCACTTTCATGCATTGGAGAAGGAAATGGCAACCCACTCCAGTGTTCTTGCCTGCAGAATCTCAAGGACAGGGGAGCCTGGTGGGCTGCTGTCTATGGGGTCACAGACGGACACAACTGAAGCAACTTAGCAACAGCAGCTAGATATTTAAAATNACATTCAGGACTGATCTCCTTTAGGATGGACTGGTTGGATCTCCTTGCAGTCCAAGGGACTCTCAAGAGTCTTCTCCAACACCACAGTTCAAAAGCATCAATTCTTTAGTGCTCAGCTTTCTTTATATAGGCTCCTGTAATAACCTATTTCAGGGATAACATAAAGGCTTGATATACAAGCCTATATATTAATATACAGAGAAAAAATATATTGAGGTATCTTTAAAAATGAACTCTGTGGGCTGAAAATTACACTTGCTTTGACATAAAGAGCCTAGGAAAATAAGCAGAGTTATTAATGGCTTCCCAACCCACCCTTGATCCTTGAGTTAAATTACAGTTTGAAGAATGCCTGCTTTTTAAATGGCATTGAGAAGACTGGGGGTGCTTAACTAGTCACATTTTCATTTATCTTTTGAACAACTGTGTAGTAATTTTTATTGCACATTTTAAAAAATCCCCTGTATTCAAGTAATAGAAAGTCTCAGGCTATATAACCTCCTTTTATGTGGTATTTTTTATGCTTAGATTATTTGGTTTAATATGCTATATACTGCAGGTCTGGAGTTTTTAAAGAACAGTTTAGACATGCTCCTTTAGGTTTCAAGGCACACACACATTATCTTAAATGCTAAAGGCTTATTTTAAGACTACAGAGGACAGGAAGGTGACTGCCTCATCGAAGGCATGGCTGGGAAAATGACCGTCCTGTAGTGGGCACAGCAGCCCTCATAGCTGGGTAGCGCCCCCAACTTTGAGGCCGATGGCCACTGCTCAGTAGTCATCGCGTACCTACTCGTGTTTTCCAGCTTCTCCCTGCACATTTCTCCCTCTGCAGCTTCTGTTGTTCCTGAAAGAGGTTCTGACTGATCCTATTATGATCCAAAAGAGAGCCCCCGACTCTCTTTTCTTCTAAATCATTCTGGCCTTCTAAATCATGTCCAGCCGAAGGATGACTGCCCTTAATTAGGGCAGAGACCCCTGGTACAATTGACTGTGGCCAGTGTAATAGGTCAAAGCTGGGAAAGTGAAAGTTGCTCAGTTGTGTCCAACTCTTTGCGACCCCATGGACTATACGGTCTATGGAATTCTCCAGGCCAGAATACTGGAGTGGGCAGCCTTTCCCTTCTCCAGGGGATCTTCCTAACCCAGGAATTGAACCAAGGTCTCCTGCATTGCAGGCAGATTCTTTACCAACTGAGCTATCAGGGAAGCCCCACAAGCCAGAGGGCACAGCCAATTATGTGGAAGGACCCAACTCAGACAGCCTTCCTTAAAGAGGCTGTGAGCAGGACAGACAGGCCTTCAGAATCTCATGGATTTCTCAGTACAGTCATGATGGGCTTAAAATGATAATGATGCTCTACATCACTGTCAATATTGCAGTTTCAGGAAGAAATCAAAGTAGTGGCAAAATGTACACTTGACAAATAGCAGCATTGCACAGCACTTAAGTTGCTCTGGGGCCAGACAACCTGGGTTTGCTCTGGGATTACAGTATGCATCTGTGAATTAGTAGAACCTACCATGAAATTAAAAGACGCTTACTCCTTGGAAGGAAAGTTATGACCAACCTAGATAGC